GCCTGTATTTTTTAGTGAACCGTATTGAATCGAGGTATGTATCAGCAGCTCTAATGTTAGGATGAAAAAATGTACTTGTTTCCTTAAAACACAGTTAACAGTTAAGAGATCCACTTGTTTTATGTCTAGGAATGTAACAATAATTGAAATATCGTGATATCGTATCATGGACCATCACAGTATATTGAATTACAAGTCTCTTTGCTTAAATTAAGAGTTATGGTGCAGCAAGAGCTAAAAAAAATACAGAAAGAACTACATAGACCATGATCCTTTGCTCCATTTCAGTGCAGACTACAAGAAGAAATAACAGTTCTAAGCACTTTTAAGTCTTTGTTCTTTGGATTAAGTCTTGTCAAGGTGTTTTAAAAAGAAAAAGTATCATATTAACAGTTTTGTCCACAAAATATCACAATAAATATCGTACCGTGAGATGTATGTCGTAAAAATATCGTACTGAGAGATTTGGATATTGGTACATCCCTAATCGTGAGCCTCCCCACCATATCATGAGCTTTTCCAAAATATCGTAATAAATATCGTACCGTGAGGTTCATACTGTGACGATATCGTATCGTGAGACGTGGATATCATTACACCCCTTGTTATGTGACTATTATTTATCTTTCAAATAACAACAGACCAGCTTTGTATGAATAAAATTTCAAACATTATGAGACATTCTAGACCAAAATCAGCCTGTAAATAATCTTATTACATCCAATTAAAGGCCCAATCGCAATGCCGTCTTAACCAATGTCACCGATTTCTTTCAGTTTTTCAGTATTGGCGCTGGTATTCGACTCCAAAAAGACTGACAACGAAAAAATAACCAACAACTACTCGTGTCATAAACAAAACAAAAAAACTATTAGTATTTTTTTTTTTTTTAAAAAGCTAGTAATGTAAACAAACTACCATAAAACAAAAATTACACCAGACAACATCACAAAGCAACAACAACAGTATAAAAAATTATTAAATACATCTTTAAAAACTGCAACAAGTATTAACAAACTAATAATATTTTGGTGTAGCTGAGTTGTCGTGGCCTGTGTGTCTGGTGTTGCTGTGTGTTTGTGGTTCTTTGGGAGAGGGGCAGATCTCCAGAGAGCAGGCCGCAAGAGGATGCTCAAAATCCAGTTATGTCACCGAGAGCCGAGCCGTGAGCCGCTCCGCTGACACACTTCCTCTGTAACGGCGCGGCTCATTGGTGGAGTCAGGACCACGCCCCTGTAAGCTCCGCTCTCATTGGCGGCTGGCGGTCACATCTGGGCTGAGTGCTTGGATTAGCGTGGACACAGTGCAGTTGGATGGAGATTACACAGTTTAGCACTTGTTTGGTGTGAGAGCTGAGTTTTTCTGATGCTCTCTGCGGTTTGGTTTGGTAAACAATAAACTTACTTACTTCATAAATGACACAGCGTGGTTTTTATATGAGTTTTCTTAAAAGTACAGTATTTAGGAGTTAGGGATGGTGGCATTCTTAGAGCTTTGTGGGTTTCAGAGTGGTAAAAACATGCACTGTAGGCATAGCAATTAAAAATAAAACATGTCATATTTCATCTTTTCCATTGTGAAGTCCTCAAAATGTCACTGTTAAAACTTGTCTGTTTTTAAGATTTGGCCGTTATGATAAGTTCAATGTTAATTTAGCTAAATATTATACCTTAAAACTGTACTCTGAATCATCTTGTATTTTACACGTATTAAACATTTTAGTTGGCTGTTGTTTTCCATAAATACGGTAGTTTAACAATGGAGTATTAAGCAGAATAATATTTAGTTTTTAGCTTTGTACCATGTTCCCTCATCAAAAAAAATGCCTGAAGAGGTTTTAGATGTCATCCGTGCATGTTTCAGTAATTTAGTGATCTCTCCCTGTTCAAACAATCTTATGGTTAAGCTGTAAGATTCTGTGCAATGCTTCACCCACAAGCCTACGTCACCCATGCTCCCACATAGAGGTGTGCAAAAATATCAAAATATCGATATATCAATATGTTGTATCATTTAATGTGATGATACAGTATCGATATCGTGGAGTATTTTGGTGTATTTTACTTATTAAACTAACACACATGAACATTTACACACAGTGGCTCCCTCTTTTCTGCATCACTCGAGGAAAAACTAAAACACAACACTACCCACGCCAGTCCATCTTTCCAATAATCAGGGAATAATTTACCTCCATAAAATGCTCCATAACATGTTTTAAAGTAAAGTATTTACTTGACTTATTTTGTTACAGCGCTACAGTTTTGTCGCTTGTTTAGAGGAAGGAAACCTGTTTATGTGACACATTTGACATTTTCACAGTTTTAATTATTAAAATGGGCATGTTTGATATTAACTTTGCACAAGAAGTGGTTTAACAAAGACTTGATGACATGATTTAGCCTTTATTTTTTTATTGAACCATATTAAATAAATTTTAAATATATCATATCAAATTGAAAGTGCTCTATATCGAGGTATGTATTGTATCTGCAACTTCTTAATGATACCCAACCCTACTCCTACATGACAATTCTCCATAGATATACAACTTTTTTTTTTACAAAACTGCAACCGTAATGTGCAGTAGTGACAATGCTCTTAGGCTGGAGTGACTTAGCACGGAAATGAGGTGGGGCTCTTAAGAGGGAAACTTAATTTTCAGCAACCTATAGCATTTTCAAAACAATAAAAGGTAAAATGATGATCTAAATATGTTACGTATTACGCAAATAATACCCCACAGAAGTAAACTACTCCCTCTTGTTTATCATAAAGTGCTGCAAAATTTAAAAATGCATGTTGTAGACTTTCAACTAAGAGTATAAATTGTTGTTTCTGCATTTTGTGTGGAATTTTAGTCATTTCACATTTGGTTGTTGTACTTAGACGAGAATAGACAGGATTTTAGATTTGACGTAATATTGCCAGAACTTAATTTTCTTATTTCACCTCAATGACCCGTACATTTGAACAACAGTGTGAATTAATGGCCATTCACTACATCAATTCAACCTCCTCCAGCCACGACATTTGAATAACAAATCATGAAGAGCAGCCGGCCGCACTGACACTGCTCCACACACCTGTGCGCCGCAGTCTGCCACTGAATGAACACCTCACAATCCTCACTACTGCATGGATTTATACACAACCTGTCAAAAGTCTGGACTCACCCTCTCACTCACTGTTTTTTTTATTTTTTTTTCAATGTTTACTACTTTTTACATTTGATATACATACAGGAAACATCAAATATTCAAAGAAAATAAAAGTAACAGTAATGTTTTATAACCAAATCCTCAAATTACCCACTTTTTGCTTTGTCGAGAAATATTTAGTACATTTATTTAACTTTTTTCTTTACTATATAACAGAGGTGGGGACTTGCGAGTCAGACTTGAGTCACTATTTTTAGGACTTGAGGCTTGACTTGATAAAATGGACTAAGACTTGGGACTTGACTCGGACTGTGACTTGAGAAGAGTTTGTGCTTCTTCTAAAAATATACATGCTTTTAGAAAATAATTTCCTCTTTACAGTTGATAAATGCGGTGCTTAATTTTACAGGAACAAACTGGAACATGTCCCTCCCACTTCTGTGTTCGTTACTTTAGATGTAAATGAAGTACTGTGATGTGGTATCCTCAAATGTACTACAGTAATATACAGTGCAGTACAGTAAAACATAACTCCATAGAACATAATCCTTCTTGACAAAATAACTGTTATTTAGCACTTAAATCTGAAACTAAATCTGAATTCTTTCTGCTCTGACCATAATGATTGACACTTGACAAGACATTTTGACAAAACAGATGTTGACAAGACACTTAAAAAGGAAACAACTCTTATATAAATACTCATATATAAATATACCATGACTTTTTTAAGTACAATTTAGTGTAAAAGTCATATAAACTGCAAAAATATAAGCTATATTTGATATTTTGGGATATTTTAAAGGCTTGAAATGACTTGAAGCTCAAAGCAGACGACTTGGACTTGGCTTGGACTTATGGGCCAGTGACTCGAGACTCGACTTGGACTTGCCTGTATTTGACTTGGGACTTGACTCAGACTTGAGGTCAAAGACTTACTTGAGACTTGCAAAACAATGACTTGGTCCCACCTCTGCTGTATAATTCCATATATCATGCTTCATATATTTGATGTCTTCTGTCAAATGTAGAAAGTAACAAACATATAAAAAAAAAACATTGAATGAGAGAGCGAGTCCAAACTTTTGACTCGTAGTGTATTTGTGGAGGTTGCGTTCTTCTTCTAGAAACTGTACTTTGAGTTAGAGGTCAGGCGCCTTTATAAGTCTATGGGGGAGATTCACTAGTTTTGAAAGAATTATTAAAAACAAAATCCACAAAAGTTGAGTCTAGGGGTGTAACGATATCCAAGTCACACAGTACGATATTTATTGCGACATTTTGTGGAGGCTGCAAACAAAACTGTGAATATGCTACTTTTTCCTTTTTAAACGCCTTGACAAGACTTAACCCAAAGAACTAAGACTTAAAAGTGTTAGAACTGTTATTTCTTCTTGTAGTCTGCACTGAAATGGAGCAAAGGATCATGGTCTATGTACAGTAGTTCCCTTTTTCTTTTTTTAGCTATTGTTGCACCATAACTCTTAATTTAATCAAACAGACTTGTGATTCGATTTATTGTGATGGTCCACGATGTTATTGTGAGAACTTTGATGATATTTCGGTTATTGTCACATCCCTAGCTGAACCTTGTCATTATGTTAGGCTTTGGTTCCACAAACTAGTCTTATTTAAGTCCTTTAAACTGGTAACTATCACTTATTTTGGGTTGGATAATATTCATACTTTCTGAAGCGAAAATAACTTCACTTTTGTTTATCCGTACTTACCGAGAAAGCGTTGAACTTTTTGCTTTTGTTTGTTTCATGAGGATCGCCCCAGTAGATACAAAGATACACATTTTCACTTCATTTTTTTTGTTTTGTTTTGTTTCTACAGATCACCAGAAACTCGAGAGGGAGGCCCGGATCTGCCGTCTGCTCAAACATCCCAATATTGGTAAGACATTATCATATTCCCTTAACTCTTTCCCCCCTGGACGCCTACTAGGAACAACCCATACATATGTTACTAGGGCTACCCATAGAGCATAATTGCATAAAAGAAAACAGACTTCCATGAGTGATTTCACTGCAATTTTGGTTCATAATCGAGTATAAAGCCCGGATAGTTTGTTCGGATATCGCAGGACTCCACACAGACGCATCAGCGGCATTCTCATGTTCGTAAGTTTCACTCTCTAAGTCCGTCGCTATCGCTGTTTTCCACTTTATAATCACCCTCATCATCACTTTGAAATCTATAAAAGTCACTTTCTCTAAACTTATCCATAAAATGCGTCCGCTCCTCATTATTTCTAAAACTGTGCACCGCAGCGTGATCTTTCCATTGCACGTGTTTCGTGTTGTGTTTTTTCCAGAAGCTACCATCGTCACTACTTCGATTAACTTCGGAAAAAATCTGCAAAAACATATCCTTGAATCCTAATGGTCAGCCTAGTGTGGGTTGTAGTGGCCCCTACCGATCACAGTCTCTGTTTAAATGTGAAAAACCGAGCCGTTTCTAAAGGTCGTCAGATCACGTCTTTAGTGATACAGCGGAGGTGTCAAAAGTCGTCATTAAGGAAACAGGGGGGTCATCAAACGTCGTCTTCATGGGGGAAAGAGTTAAGGCCATGAGTGCAAAATGGCCTCCCCAAACCAAGGTGACTTGTGGGAGCAGCGTGGCACAGTTTCACACTGACCTGCTTACACATTCAGTCGAGTTGGTAATAACTAGAGCATACATGATGTCTGGTCTCAGGTGGTCACAATGATGCATACAAAAGCACGAATATTGAGTTTTAGGGGAATTCTGAGTGGAGTTTGATAGCGTAACTTTATATCACGAAATGGGTTTTTGGAAAGAAATCTTGTGACGCTTTTAAAATGTAATATGAATAATTCAGGAACAAGCTTATAATAGTCAGACAAATTACATTAGCATTGGTTTCTGAATTTAAGTTTCCACCCATCAATAATGTTTTCAAGATACTAAAATTTCAGAATCTAGTTTGATACCAAGAGAAAGGTTTGATACTCGATACCAGTTTTGACACCACAGTGATCATTAAAAAAACAAAAACACAAATTTGGGGGGGCCAATAGAATGTAATTTTCAACCAAAAATACTAGTACTTTCTTTAAAATGATGTGGTCTTGTACTTGTTTTGATATTCAAAAACTATTCAGTAAAGGTTTTGGATTGTTATTAGGGATGTAACGATATCCAAGTGTCACGATACGATATCGCCACGGTATGAACCACACAGTACGATATTTATCGCGATATCGTGGGAAAGCTCATGATATAGTTCAGAGGCTCACGATTAGGGATGTAACAATATCCAAATCTGGTAACACTTTATAATAACTACACATTATTTAGCCTTAATAAAGCATGAACATGAACAAAGACTTAATTAATAATGATTCACGCTTAGTAAATGCTAAATAAAGGATCATTAGTCTTCACTTTAGAAAAGCTCTCAAAAAGACTTAACTAACAGATAACAGCTGCCTGAATTATCATTGTATTGCATTATTAGTAAATCATTCTCTCATAGTTTACTAATGATTAATAAATGCTCAAATGGTTAGTCCATGAGTAATTAAGTATGAAATAATCATGAATAACTATTTACAGCACAGGCAAATTAAGTGCAAGTGCTAATTAAGGTAGTAATTAAGTAGTTACTAAGCGTGAATCATTATTAAGTCTTTGTTCATTATTAATTAAGCCTTTGTTCATGCTTTATTAAGGCTAAATAAGGTGTAGTTACCGTAGAGGCTAAACAACTGTTACTTTTTCCTCTTAAAGTGCCTTGACGAGACTTAATCCAAAGAACTAAGACATAAAAGTGCTTTGAACTGTTATTTATTCTTGTAGTCTGCACTGAAATGGAGCAAAGGATCATGGTCTATGTACTTCCCTCTTTTTTTTTTTTTTTTAGCTATTGCTGCACCATAACTCTTAATTTAAGCAAAGAAACATTTTAATGTATTATGATGCTCCATGATATTATTGTGAGAACTTTGACGATACGATATCACGATATTTCGGTTATTGTTACATCCCTAATTGTTTTTATTGTATGTTAGTTTGGATTAGTATCTGGGCATTGATAAACTTTTGACAACTCTGCCTCCCAACCAGAGGGTAGCCAGTTCAAACCTGACTAGACTGAATACTGATCTGAGTGCCAGTCCAGTGAGGTTCATTTGGTCGTCCGATAATTTATGGTATTAGGTTCTTTTTTCAGACCAAGAGTTTGTTTTCATACTTGACAGTTTCAACTGCTCACTAGGGGTTTTCCTCAGAGTGGTCACGTGATGTTACTGTGGCGTGTCCGTTCATCTGATTAAATTTTTTTTAGTTTTGGTGTTGTTTTCCTACCAGAGGAAGCAGGACAACAGTGGCATCTGCAGTCCGACTTCCTCAGGACTAGGGATGTGCAGAAATATCGAAATATTGATATATCGTATCATTTAATGTGATGATACAGTATCGATATTGTGGGCTGCTGTATCGATATATCGCCAAGAGTATTTTTTGGTTTATTTTGATGATTCACTATGCACAAGAAGTGGTTTAACAAAAACTTTTATTATCACAAGAGTCATTTTGACATTTTTTATTGAACCGTATTGAATCAATTTGAAATATATCATATCAAATTGAAAGTGCACTGTGTCTTGATATGTATCGTATCATGGCCTATGTATTGAGGTATGTATCGTATCGGTATACCAGGTGTACTGTTCTGCAAAACTCAACTCAAATCGGCCATTTCTGACTAGGGCCTGACCAATATGGAGTTTTTTTGTTTTGTTTTTTTGGCAGCCGATATGATACCGATAAAACAGGAGTTGGAAAGCCGATATATTTAGTGATGTAAAAATTCACTGTAAATCTTCAAGTGATTATAAAACTTAGTAAAGAAAGTAAGTAAACTACCGCTGTTGGCCTTTAGTGGTAAATGTTGCGCCCCACAGTAATTAATTATGCATAAATTCAGATCATTTACATATCAATGCAGGCCCAACAAACATCGGACAGCAGATGGCGCTGTCGTCCTGAATCCTCCAGTAGGGAGACAACACCAAAACCTGTATAAATCAGCTGACCAGACACGTCACAGTAACATCACGTGACTCTGAGGAAGACCGTGAGTGAACAGTCGAAACTGTCAGGTATGAAAACAAACTCAAGAACCTAAAAACATGATCTGAGTGCCCTTTAGCGGAAGTTACCTCACTTATTGTACCTTATACATTCTCACTTTCTAATTCTAATTGTGCGCTTTCTGATACTCGGACTATAAACCGCTTTATAATTGGTTGCGGACAGTTTGCAGCTGGCATATAAAAAAAAAATTGTGTAGTGAGCGAGTAAGTGAGAGCGCCTCGGACGTCAGACCAGATCCTCCTCTCTCCCCTTGAGCCTTATTGAACCAGGCGCCGCTAACTACATCCCCGGCTTCACTGTCACTCTCTATTGACTCACAGCGGATTTCTCATCTGAGCCATAGACTTGTTAAAGCTATCCCCTATACCGGGCTTCAGAAGCGACGGCTCCATACCTGCTAACTGTCCTTTTGAGCCCCATCTGTCTCCCGCCTCGCTCGTACGTACATACATACATCCCAACGCCTCATTAAGATTCTGTTCACGCAGTCGGAGCGCAGGGAAAACCGGGATCCTGGGAAATTCCGCTCTGATGGATCTAAAGTGTCAATCACTATACGAGCTCACCCGCGTCACCGAAGTCCGCAGGGAGACGGTTTAAGCACTTTATCTGGCATCATCTGGCATACATTACAATCGAAGTGGGAATTTAAAGGATTGGAACTAGTGCATTTACATACTCACTTGGAGATAATGGGTTCACATCACACCGACTACAATGCATTATTCATTTTCTTTGTAGTTATTTTTATATTACAGTGTCTTCGCTATGTCCCACTAAGGTACAGGAACGCTAACGACGAAATGAATATGCTTATTATAAAAAACACGTTGTCACACGCGGACTTGTTTAACTGTAATAGGGACACCTCTTGAGATCTACTTTTACATAGTGTACAGGATTGTCAAAAGTGTCCAAAATCCAAAAAAAAGATACTAGTTGATGCCTGTTTACACGAGAACGCTTGCGGGTAAAAACGACAAAATATTTTATCAGAAGTGCCTTTCGTTTAGACGGTGATAGCGTTTTTGGGGCATAAAAATAAAAAAATCTGAACCCACCCTCCAGAGTGGAAAAGTTGAATACACTCCGCCGTAGTGTTTCCATCTACACTGCCCAAGACGCAAAACTCTGGTCTTGTCGTGTTCGCGTTTACGTCACATACATACAGTACACAGAAACAAACATGTCCAATCATTTCCATACGTCGGATCTTGAACAAATGTACAGAATCTGCAGAGATACTATTAGTAAACAGAGAAGGATCTGCAATCACCTCTGTCAAATTCTGGATGTACCAGTTCGTTCGTCGCAAGTGAGTCAGACGAATATGGACGAGACCTGGAGAACCAGTCGATGGTGGGATGAGTTTGTGGAAGAAGTAGCTGATGAAAATGCGTGGCATGAAAACTTCTGTATATCCAAAGATGCCCTTGTTGTACAAGCATACACAATTGAATTCCACACACTTCTGCGTCACCGTATGCATGCAGATTTCCTCCTGAAAATGCTTGTCTAATACAAAGTGAAGATGCGACACCACTTTTGCATCTTCTGTTCAGACCGTCATATAAACGTAGCTTAATATCAAAACTAGATATTCATTTGAACAAGTATAAATACTAAAGAAAATGACATAAACCAGGACAGAATTTGACCTTTCCTGCTCAGACGATGGTCTTAAGCTCTGTCAGAACTAGTGTGGGACCATGCGATAATATTAAAGAGACTACTATTATTTAGTTCTAAAAATAACAGTTTAATGTTTAGAA